ACTAGTATATATATATATTGTATGCATATAAATATACATAAATATTAAGGTTTATTATTCTAATAAAGTTACATCCAAGGCAACAATCCCCCCCCTCCAAATAACAATAAACATACAACCAGAACTGCTGAAATCAAAGGGTAATGTATAGAAACCAAAAGCATCTGGCAGGTTATGACTTCAACAGAACAACATTAGTGTTAACCACAGGTTTTGTGTGGTTGATTAAAGGATCACAAAAAAGGTTGAGTGGGATAAAGCTTTTGTGGAGTACCTAATTTTTAATTTATTGGTTTTAAGAATTTTTTTAATCTAAACATAAATATTGTACAGATATTAAAAATGAGCACATTAAAGCCCATATTTTTAAGAGACAGCCTTTAACTCAAGATAATAAAATTAAGTTCAAAACATAAATTTCAAAAGAAAGCTAGAAATATTTGAGCACTTCCTGTATGTTTTACTAAGTCATGTATATAATCATGTTAAAAATCTGAACAAAGACTGACTTATAAAAACATTATCATACCAGATTAACATCAAATCTAAATGAAAAACCATGTATTGCAAACTGTTATGTTCGACAGTTCAACATTACTTGACTTTTATAACATTAATCAAACATTGAATCTTTAACACTGAGCTTTTCACATACTTTTTGTATCATAGCCATGTTATGTAGGTAACAATAAAGACCAATGTTGGAAGATAGAGAAGGTTTCATTTATAAGCTTTGTTTTATTTTATTTGAGGTCATCATTTACACTTAAAAGCACAGGGCAAAGACCTAACCCTAGCAAACTGAAATATCACCTAAACCCGTGTTGGAAAATTGAAAATGTTTCATTTATAAGCTTTACCTCATTTGAAGTCATCATTTACATCTATAAGTATAGGACAAAGAACTAACCCCAGTAAACTGAAATATCACCTTAATCAAACTGATATCGATGAACAATACTTGTTAAACCTTCACCTACAACTTCTTTTTGAACTATAGAACTACTAACTTGTCTTTATAATGTAACATTTTCATCACACCTACAGTTAAAGTCTGAATTATACAATTTTAAAATTAAATTATAGGCTTAGATAGACTAGAATTGTTAAGACTTCCTTTAGTTCCAATAATGAAAACTTATTACATTGTCCAGTTTCTTGTGATCAGGTTAAAGCTTTTGAAACAGTTGATTAGAATAATATACTTGTTAACAAAGTAGCTTAGCTTAACAGAAGGCCAAAATTCTGAATCAACTGTTCAGTGTCATTTTACACAACTTATTTGATACACTTTTTAAACCTTTTCTCTATGATCCTGAAAAAGAAAAGTTACAAAAACATGTAAGGAAAATCAATAATGAACAGACAAAGGCTAATGATTTAATCTGAAAAATATTCCAGAAGTGGCAGTTGTTTGGTGAATTCCTCATCATGATGTATTGTTGAAAAAAAAGTCTCCTATCCAATATATTGATAGCCATACTCTCATATTAACTTAAAAAAACACACAAAGCTGATTACAGTTAACGTGTCTGACAGGCCTATGAATTTTAAATACATTTGGTTATAAAAATAGATGATCAGTTTAATTTGAGCTACTTTAGGTTGATTGAAATAGTCACTAGTTTTTGGCTTTTATTTAATTCTTTCAACTTATTTGGATTTACGATCTTGGAATTTATTTTTCTTGTTGAGTATCTTCATCAACTCAGTAGACATGAAATATGGCTTTTCTGCCGACCCATCATTCTTTTCAGAGTCTTCCACTGTAAAACAAAAAATAAGACAGAAATACAGAACAGGTATACGTAACAGAAGTTTACAACAAAGACGTTATTCTAACACACACAAAAAATAAAACAGAAATACAGAACAGATATACATTACAGAAGTTCACAACCAAGATGTTATTCTAACACACACAAAAAATAAAACAGAAATACAGAACAGGTATACATTACAGAAGTTCACAACGAAGACGTTATTCTAACACACACACAAAATAAAACATAAATACAGAACAGGTATACATTACAGAAGTTCACAACCAAGATGTTATTCTAACACACACACAAAATAAAACAGAAATACTGAACAGGTATACATTACAGAAGTTCACAACCAAGATGTTATTCTAACACATACACACAAAATAAAACAGAAATACAGAACAGGTAAACATTACAGAAGTTTACAACAAAGACGTTATTCTAACACACACAAAATAAAACAGAAATACAGAACAGGTATACGTTACAGAAGTTCACAACCAAGATGTTATTCTAACACACACACAAAATAAAACAGAAATACTGAACAGGTATACATTACAGAAGTTCACAACCAAGATGTTATTCTAACACACACACAAAATAAAACAGAAATACTGAACAGGTATACATTTCAGAAGTTCACAACCAAGATGTTATTCTAACACACACAAAAAATAAAACAGAAATATAGAACAGTTATACGTTACAGAAGTTCACAACCAAGATGTTATTCTAACACACACAAAAAATAAAACAGAAATATAGAACAGTTATAC